CCCCAAAACCCCAAAACCCCAAAACCCCTCTAAGATCTAGTTGCTTTGAATTAAGTGTCCTAGGATAGAAAGCTAAGTATTCTGTCCTTAAATGTTTTGGGCTTCAGGTTCACTTCAGCTCTCTCAGGAGTGAACGTCAGAGACTTCTCTCGAGATACTCTGACCTTTACTGGAGTTTCAGCAAGGATTTCCTCCAAATCGTACTCTACAAGAGGCAAGTCTTTAAAAATAATTGATAGTATTAGTTCAAAGAATCTTGTTGATCTCTCCCCCAACAGCATCATAATTATGCTTTAAAGAGAGATTTGAGTTATATGAGAAGAAAATGTTTGAGGAATTTCCAACAGAGCAATCTGTATGAAAGCTATCGGCCCAATGATCTCCTTTACTCAAGTCAGAGCTTTCTGAATATTAAATGGCATACACTCACCATTTGAGTCTCTCTCAATTATTTGTCCAAATACTGGAGGAATGGATTTCAGAGGATTAGCTATGAGAAAGTCAAATTCCTCGACAGTGCCGTCTAGAAGTTATTTCAAATATACTCTCAAAAGTTGCAGTATTTTGTTCTAATCTATTAACTTTATACCCAGTGTGTAATTCAAGGGTTACATTTGTCTGAGGCATCGACTCAATTGACTCTTGGACCAACTCTGTGAACCCTTGGTTGACTTTATCTGTCCCAACAATGTCAGATCATAGGTATTGCTCATCATTATAAAACTTTATACTGAATGAATGATGTGAAGAGGCAAATCTATCCTCAATACTCTCCTTAAGGGCTAAAATAAACATTTTAAAATACCAAAGGCAGCTTCGAGGCATTTCACTGTACCATCATAGTCATATGAGCCATCGTTGGTAACCAAGATATTAACATGACTACTCGGAGCTGTCTCTAAGGCTCTGAAAAAGATGTCAAGGCGTTTCCTCAACTCAAAATATTTGTCATCATCTATAATATGTCAGCACTTCCTTACAAAAGATATAAGATCCCTCTAGCTGATCATTTCAGATTTTCTGAAACAGTGAGTGTGAAGTAATTGCATACAGGGATGGAATAGAATGAAGGTTTCTAGACACTACAGCTAGTTCATACTCATTCAGCCCCATTTTCAACTCATCAAAGAAGTAGTTGTTCTCAAAGTCAAAATCAGCTATTTCAGTTGCTATAAATAAGTTAGGTATAATTACTCTTAAATCTTGAAGAACTTTTAATTTCTTTTGTGAGAAATACATGCTCCAGACTCTCCTCAGTAAATACTGAATAGAGTAATGGATTCCCCAGCGTTGAGAACATATTCACTGGGTTATATACCTTCATCATATCAGAAGGAAGATAATCATTCTCGGCAGCTACAATATCTCTGTAAAGCCCGAGAGTCATCTTATTAAATCCTAGAAAGGCAACATTAGACCTCACTGCTCCACCTCTTTTAACTTGTTGGATTATGCTGTTCATATGTGGCTGGAATTTTTATTTTAATGATTAATTCTATCTTAATTTTCTTGCTGGGGTTTTGGGGTTTTGGGGTTTTGGGGTTTTGGGG